AGGCTGTACGGGCCGCGCGCGGGCCCTACGCAGGTCGCGCAGGCCGCGACGGGCGACGGGGGGCGACGCGCGGGTCCCCGTCGCCCGTCGCAGCGCCTCCCGGGAGCGACGCGCGGAGTGACGGGGCAGAAAGCCGCCGCGCGCCTCGGGGCGCACGGCGGGCAGAAAACCGCCGCGCGCCTCGGGGCGCACGGCGGGCAGAAAACCGCCGCGCGCCTCGGGGCGCACGGCGGGCAGAAAACCGCCGCACGCTCCGAGCGTGCGGCGGGATGAAAAATCCGTCGCACGCCACGGGGCGTGCAACACACAGAGTAGCAGTAGCAGCGGAAGCAGTGAGGTGGTGGGCCCACCCACAGGATCGACCCAGGAGGGTCGACCTGCTCTGATAGCATGTCAGAACTAGCAGTAGAAAGTAAGAATGAAGAAAGGAGGGGGTTCACTAGCAAGCAGTTGGATACATATAGCAAACCCTAATTGGGCTGTACTCACTATAGAGTACCCCACTGCAGGCTAGACAATTATAACATTCTGACAAATGGTATGATCACGGCGATGACGATTGGCCGAGCGTTTCTGTGAAGACTGAATGTCCTGTAGACGCTTGTGTGTCCGATCCCAAAGCTGCTGCATTGTGGTAACAAAGTCGTGCGCGGGCTGGACGGTTGCAGGTACTGTCGGCTCTTGTGGAGTTAGCGAATGTCGTCCGTAACAGAGGAAGAATGGGGTCTCTCCTGTTGCGGCATGCTTCGCATTATTCTAGGCGAACTCCAACACCGGCAAGTGCAAGTCCCACTTGCTAACGTCGTCTTTGAACGATGCGCGCAAGAGCTGTTCCATAATCTGGTTCAAGCGCTCTGTCTGCCCATCGGTCTGGGGATGATATGCAGATGACATCGCTAGGCGTGTCCCCATGAGCGACATGAGCTCTTTCCAGAACTTGCTAGTAAACTTGGGGTCCCTGTCAGATATGAGGGTTGTCGGGATCCCGTGCTGTGAAATGATGTGTTTGATGAATAGCTGTGCCGTTTCCTCCGTGCGTGCGGTTGTATGCGTCGGAATGAAGTGTCCCATCTTTGAGAATTTGTCGATGACGACCAGGATGGCGTCATGCCCCACGTTAGTAGGTGGTAACCCGGTGATGAAGTCCAAGCTGACCACTTGCCAAGGCTGTTCCGGGACGGGTAGAGGCTGAAGAAGTCCTGCTTTCTTCTGCTTACTGCTCTTCATCCGCTGGCACGTGTCGCACGAAGTGACGAACTTTTGCACGTCATCTGCCATGTGAGACCAGTAGTAGACTTTCGCAATCCCGGCAAGAGTCTTGTTACTCCCGAAGTGTCCAGCGTAGAGTACATCGTGGAACTCCTCGAGAAGTAGCTGCTGAAGAGGCGGGTAGTTGGGTGTTGATCCTTTTCGTAGTACGATGTCGTGGTCCCACTGCAGCAATTTCTTCTTCTCTGCCACGCGAATCGCGGGGTCGATAGTATACCAGTGTGTAAAGAGTCCTTTTAGTAGCGGATTCATCCCCTCAACCTGTATGGCGGCAACGTGTCCAGGCCGGCTTAGTGCATCTGCCTTATTTTTGTGTCCCAGCTTGTACACGATGTCGTAGTCGAAGTGCGTCTCAAGGAAGTCGATCCACCGGACTTGTCGTCTGGAGAGGGTTGGCTGCGTTTTTAGGTACTTCAGACTACAATGGTCGGTGTAGACCGTGGTCTTCCTTCCTTCAAGGTAGCATCGCCATGTTTTGAATGCGGTGATGATCGCTAAGGCCTCTTTGTCGTGAATGGGGTAGTTGATTTCTGCCCCGTGCAATTTCTTGCTGAGGTAAGCGATTGGTTGAAGTCCCTTCCCTTGGTCTTGCATCAAGACTGCTCCAACTGCTTGGTCGCTAGCGTCAGCCTCGATGACGTAGTTTTTTTCTGGATCTGGCAGGATCAGGACGGGTGCGGACGTGAGTGCGGTCTTCAACTGCTCCATGGCTTGCTGGTGCACATCCTCCCACTTGAACGGTGCATTCTTCTTCAGTAGATTGGTGAGAGGTGTTGCAATCTTCGCATACTGTGGCACGAACCGATTAGTAGTTCGCAAAGCCAAGGAATTGCTGAAATTCCTTCACGTTCTCCGGTGTCTTCCACGTACGTACGGCTTCGATCTTCTTTGGGTCCACATGTACACCTTGAGCGCTCACCATGTGTCCAAGAAACTGAACTTTCTTCAATGCGAACTCGCTCTTAGATAACTTGACGTAGAATTTCTCCCGTCGAAGTATCTCGAAGACTCGTCGTAGGTGTTCGATGTGCTGCTTCATGTCCCTCGAGTAGATCAGGATGTCGTCCAGGTACACCACCACGCATTCGTCGAGTAGAGGCCTGAGAATATGGTTCATTTCGGCCTGGAATGTAGCGGGTGCGTTGGTGAGTCCGAACGGCATGACGAGGTACTCGTAGGATCCGTATCGTGTCCGAAACGCCGTCTTATGGATGGAGTTATCCGCCATCTGGATCTGCCAATATCCCGATCTCAAATCGAGTTTTGAGAATACCGTGGCTCCCCGAAGCTGGTCAAGTAGATCGTCGATCCGTGGAATCGGATACTTGTTCTTGATCGTCTGCTTGTTGAGGGCTCGGTAGTCGATGCACATGCGTAAGCTTCCGTCAGGTTTTGGCGTGAAAACCACTGGTGCACCGTACGGTGATGTTGAGGGTCGAATGAGTCCCTTGTCCAGGAGGTACTCGATCTGTTTCTTCATGTCAGCCAACTCGGTAGGGCTGAGTCGATATGGTGCTCGGAAGGTTGGTTTTGAACCAGGTTCTTCGACGATCTCGTGCTGGTGGGTTCGGTATGGCAGCAACTGGTCTGGAAGGTCGTCAGGGAGAACGTCTTCGAACTCCTCTAGAAGTTTCTGGATTGCTGGTGGAAGCTCGAGCATCTTCCTCTCTCCTTCGTCCTCGTTGGTAACCAGTGCAACAAACCCTGCCATGGTTCTCTTCACGTCCTTCTCGAAGCGTGCGAGAGTCTCCTCCGGAATATCTCTCGTGTTGCTCCAACTCAAAAGTGGAACTCTTTTGTCTTGATTGTAGATACTCGCCGTGCGGGTGACCCAGTTGATCTCGGGGTTGAACTTCTTCAGAAAGTCTCTTCCAAGGATCAGGTCTAGCCCTTTGATGTTGGTGACGGGTAGGGTCGGTTTCCAGCGAAGAGGACCCATCTGCAGGTGTAACGCTACTTCGCCGTAGACTTGTAACTTGCTTCCGTCAACCATCGTAGCTGTGAACCTTGAAGGCGTGTACTTCTCATTGATGCGTTTGAGAGTTGCCTTGTCGCATACTGAATGGGATGCTCCGCTGTCCACGAGTGCTTGGAGGCGTCGTCCATTGCAGATCACCTCGAGCAAAAGTGGTTGGCGTTGCTCGTTGTACCCGTTGATCGTCTAGTTGATTGGATCGTAGGGCATATCCCATAGCTCTGTGTTTTCTCCTAGGGTGGCAGATGGCCGGTCCTGCCGTTCCCTATTGCCATGATTTTTTGTTGTCGTTGACGACGTGGTTCTCGAGCTCGTAGTAGAATTCCTAGATGGGGTAGATATCGTAGATGTTTCAGATGCATCTGTAGAGGAGGTTTGAGGTCGTTGCAGCTTCACGTTGACCTCCAGCTCCCTCTTGAGCTGCTTCAGCGCCATCGACTTTTTCCGTGGGGACCGGTTGGTCGACGTGGGCTGGTTGTTCTGAGAGAGGACGATGTCGTCGTTGGAAGGTTGATCTTCCACGCTCCATTGTTGGTTCCCCATGCGCAGCTGCTGTAGTTGTCGTACCGGTACATTATTTTTCTTCTGGAGCCTCTCTCCGAATTTCACCAAGGCCGTAGACCCAGGGGAGTTTTTCCCAACTAAAGCATCCTTGTATGATAATTTTAAGGAGTGCTTACTTTTTACATGGCCTTTTTGGAGTTGTCCGGGTCCAGCAGGGTCTTGTTTTGCGGAGATTTTAAATTTCTTGGCAATTTTTCCTGGTAGAGTCTGTTCGTGGGTTGAAGAATTCGCTCCACGATCCTCCATTTCTCGTATTGAATCTGCTGCACTGCTGCGGTCCCGAAGCGCTGAACGTGCGGTTTTCATTTCGTCACAATCGATGAGTCGATGTCCCGGCTTGCCGCAGAAAGAACACTTAGATTTGTCATTCTTTGGTCTTGCCTTGGTGTCGATTCGATCGAGTTCCATCGGGTCGGCGTACGTGGCGGTAGCCAAGCGTCCTCTGTCAAACATTGTATATGTTTGTGTTCTGTAGGCTATAGTGGGTTTAGCCTTAGGGGGTACAGTTTCTAGGTTTTCCTACTTGTACTCCCAATGTTGCTAGTTCACACACTTCTCATTTCTGACATGGTATTAAGAGCCTAGGTTAGGGACCTAGGACCGCTTACCTAAGGGCCCACCGTTCCGCTAGAGGTGCCCTCGTGCGCCCTACCGTCTTAGCGCCCTCGTGCGCCTCTCTCCTAGTGTGCCCTCGCGCGCCCTCCTCTCACGCTGCTCGTTTGCAGCCCGCTAGCAGCCCGAGCGCGGCCCCGCGTTTTTAGCGCGAGTAGCCCGTTAGCCGCCTAGGGCGGCCCGATTTTTCTCGCGCGCGCCAGTAGGCCGTCGCCCGTAGGCCCCGCTCGCCCCTAGGCCGACGCTCGACCCACCGCCGCCCGCCCGCAGGTCGCAGCCCGCGCGCAGCGGCGTTCGCGCGTCGGCTGCTGCAGCTCGCGCTTAGCCGCCGCACGAACGCAGCCGCGGCCCACGCGCAGCCGCACCCTAGGCGCCGCCGCGCACCGTGCATAGGCCCACCGTCGCACCGCTCTACCTGCCCGAGCCGCGCCGCCCGAGTCGCGCCGCCCGAGTCGCGCCGCCCTGATCGAGCCGCGCCGCCCCACCTGCAGCAACTGCTGTTCCTGTTCCTGCTGTTACAGCTGTTCTTACTGCTACTACTGCTACTGCTACTACTGTTCCTACTGCTGCTACTGCCACTATGGCCAGTCCTACCGTTCTCACTTTTGACGCTGAGGGCCGTCCGATCAAGTTTGACGTTTGGCTCGATGACCTGCACCTTTTCCTCCAGATCACTGCCAAGGACGATGTTTCCCTGTTTGACCACACGTCCGGCGTAGCTCCCGCACCTGCTGCTACCGCTGATAGTACAGCTCGCTCACAGTGGCAGACCCGTGACGCTCACGCTCGCCTAGCCGTTCGCAGCCACCTGCCGTTAGATGAGCGCGAGCACTTTGGCCAGCATAAGACCGCTAAGGAGCTGTACGATGCTGTAGTTGCGCGCTACTCCTCCCCTGCTACTGCTGCGATAGGCCGTCTCTCGCTGCCCTATCTCTTCCCCGATCTGTCCGCCTTTGCCACTGTAGCTGACCTCATCACTCACCTCCGTACTAGTGATCTCCGCTACCGTGCCGCGCTTCCTCCTGATTTCCTCGCCAAGAACCCTCCCCCGATGTACCTCACACTCTACCACCTAGTCACTCGCCTCCCTGACTCTCTTCGCGCTGTCAGGGACCACTTTCTCGCCCTCTCCCCCGCTGACCTCACTGTCGACCTGCTCGAGAAGGAGCTCCTTGCAGCTGAGACTAGCATTGTAGCTGTAGGTGCCTCTCGTGGCGACCCTCGCACTCCCTTCTTTGAGGGATGTTCCCCCTCCCCCCTTCTCCCCTCCATTGCATCTGCTGCTGCTGTCGACTACCTCGGTGCTGAGGAGGTCGGGGCTGCGTCTGCTCCTAGTTGGAGGCGCAAGGGCGGCAAGGGCAAAGGGGGCAAGGGTGGCGGAGGTGGAGGCGGGGGCGGCGGTGGTGGAGGGGGTGGAGGAGGAGGGGGTGGTGGCGGTGGTGGGAGTGGTGCTGGTGGTGGGGGGGTCAGTGGCGGAGGCGGGAGTGGTGGCGGCGGCAGTAGTGGGAGTGGTGGGGGTGGTGGTGGTAGTGGTGGCGGCAGTGGAGCTGGTGGCGGGCGCGGTGGAGCGGTGCAGCGTGGAGGGCTCGGTGGTGGCCAGAGGCAGCAGCAGCAGCGTCCCAGCGAGACCCCGTCGCCCCAGCAGCTTCGTGAGTGGTACTCTCAGCGTGGGGGGTCTGGGGGTGGAGGTTCCTGCCCATACGTTATCCGCACAGGTGACCGCACTGGCCAGACCTATGGGAGGTTCCACACGGCACATCGCTGCTTCTTTCGTCTCGACGACGCCTGGCGTGCACAGTTTCCTGACGCCACTGAGCTGCCCCGCTGGGCTGATCTGATGAAAAAAGAACATTGATATCTTTGCTCTTGACTTTGATGCTATCCTTGGGGCCATGTATGCATTGACTATTAGTGTTGAGGGTGACTGTTACCTGCGTGTACCGCCAGACCCGGGTATTGGGACCAGTGAGGCTGCCGCTCTAGGTGCTAGTGCGTCTGCTGCTCTAGGTGCTGGTCAGGCTGCTGCTCTAGGTGCTAGTGAGTCTGCTGCTCCAGGTGCTCGTGCGTCTGCGCCTGCTGGTACTGCGTCTACTGAGGCACTGCACACCTTCACACTGGACTTGGGTGCTTCCCGCTGCTTCTTTCGTGACCGCACTGTCCTTGAGCAGCTACCTCGGCCTGTTGCTGTCTCCCTGGCTGACCCCTCCGGGGGCCCTGTCCTTGCGACCTCCTCCACTGTCCTCCCTTGTCCTGCGGTCCCGTCCGGCACCCTGTCAGGTCTCTACCTCCCCTCGTTCTCTACGAACTTGGTGGCGGGCTCTGCTCTCCAGGACGGGGGTGATCACCAGTTCACCCCTGCCCATGAGCGTGTGACCCACTGCACGTGTGCTAGGACGGGTCGCAACCTGGCTACCTTCACTCGGCAGCCGGGGTCGGACCTGTACATACTTGTTGCTGAGTCTGAGTCTGTCTGTCCTCTGTCCGTCGGGGGTGAGTGTGCTCTTGGCACGGACGTCTTTGAGGACAGACAGGAGGAGTTTGAGTGCTTTGCCGCTGCTTTACCTCATCTCGTGTCCATGCTGATTGCCCCTGGGGGAGACCCGGATGCACCAGACATCCCGACCCCGCGCTCTTACGCAGATGCGATAGAGGGTCCCTACTCCTCTCAGTGGCAGTCAGCCATGGACGCAGAGATGGCTTCCTGGAAGTCCACAGGCACCTAAATCGACGAGGTTCCCCCACCTGGGGCGAACATCGTCAGTGGCATGTGGATTTTCAGGGTGAAGCGGCCGCCGGGTTCTCCGCCTGTCTTCAAGGCGCGTTACGTTGCACGAGGCTTCAGTCAGCAAGAGGGAGTTGACTTCTTCCAGACCTTCTCCCCGACCCCGAAGATGACCACTCTTCGGGTTCTGCTGCACGTCGCCGCTCAACGTGACTATGAGCTCCACTCTCTTGACTTCAGCACAGCTTTCCTACAGGGCAGCCTGCACGAGGAGATCTGGCTGCGCCGCCCACCTGGCTTCACTGGGTCGTTCCCTGCTGGTACCCAGTGGAGCCTCCGGCGGCCAGTCTACGGTCTCCGCCAGGCACCCCGTGAGTGGCACGACACACTGAGGACTACTCTTGCTGCTCTTGGGTTTGCTCCTTCTACTGCTGGCCCGTCGCTGTTTCTACGCACCGACACCACTCTGCCGCCGTTCTACGTTCTCGTGTACGTAGACGACTTGGTCTTTGCTACTGCTGACACGGAGGCACTCGCCCACGTGAAGTCGGAGCTGCAGAAGAGACACACGTGCACAGACCTGGGTGAGCTGACAAGCTATCTTGGCTTGCGGATCACCCGGGACAGAGCACAGCGCACCATCACCTTGACTCAGTCACACATGGTGCAGCAGGTCCTTCAGCGCTTCCGCTTCACGTACTCCTCGCCTCAGTCCACTCCTCTGCCTACCGGTCACTCGCTCTCAGCTCTGCCTTCGGATGAGTCCGTAGAGCCGAGTGGCCCGTATCCAGAGCTTGTGGGCTGCCTCATGTACCTGATGACCTGCACTAGACCTGACCTTGCATACCCTCTTAGCATCCTAGCACGCTATGTCGCTCCTGGCCGTCACCGGAAGGAGCACATGGATGCCGCTAAGAGGGTGTTGCGCTACTTGTGCAGTACGTCGGGCATGTGGCTTGTGCTTGGAGGACGGAGCGACGTTGTCCTCACTGGGCACTCAGACGCTTCTTGGGTTGACGACCAGGCTACACAGCGGTCGTCTCAGGGTTACACCTTCAGCCTTGGCTCTGGTTCAGTTTCTTGGCGTTCTACACGCTCGTCTTCAGTTCTCAGCTCCAGTTGTGAGGCTGAGATCTACGCCACAGCCATGGCTGCACAGGAGTTACGCTGGCTCACCTACCTGCTGACCGACCTGGAGAGCGGCCTCGTTCTCCTCCAGTTCTGTACGTCGACAACAAGGCCATCATTGCCTTGTGTCAGGAGCACAGACTGGAGCACAGAACGAAGCACATCGCTCTGCGCTACTTCCTTGCTCGAGAGTTGCAGCAGCGTGGTCAGCTTCGTCTTGCTTACGTGGCCACTCGGGCCAACACTGCTGATGTGTTCACCAAGGCGCTTCAGCCTTGTGATCATCAGCGTTTCTGTACTGTTCTAGGCCTTGTGCCTACTGTGCCTCACTTGCTTACTTCTTGACTCTGCTTGTACTGTGATCTCTATATATATACCTGCATTCTTCCACTTGCTAGGTTGTGATCACTGTACCTCTTGTTATATTATCAAACTGCATGTGAACTGGTCTTGTGACCGCTTGCTTGTGCTCGGAATTTGTGTGGTATCCTTGAGATCCACCCTGAGCCTGTTTTGCTTTGCTTTGCTTTGACTGGTCTTGTGACCATCTGGTTGTCTCCCACTTCGCCTATGGGGGTGTGTCAAACATTGTATATGTTTGTGTTCTGTAGGCTATAGTGGGTTTAGCCTTAGGGGGTACAGTTTCTAGGTTTTCCTACTTGTACTCCCAATGTTGCTAGTTCACACACTTCTCATTTCTGACATCCTCCATGTTGTCCAGCTCGTCCATGAAGTCGTCGTGTTCCGATCGTGATTACGTCGAAGCGCTCTGCTGCCGAGACGACGTCATTGTAGCTGCTCCAATTTGTGGCTGAAACGTGTTGTCGTGTTTCGTTTTTCAGCCCTGCGATGAATGCTCTAATTTTTTCGCCTTCCGTGACGTCGGGGATGCGGTTGAACAACTCCTCCATTTGTTGCGTGTAGTTCGCGACGCTCCCGATTTGTCGATGACGATGTATTTTGTCGCGGGCGATTAACGCTGCATTTATCCGCTCGAAACGTTTTAGTAATCCTTCACGGAACTGCTGCCACGTCGCTTCGCCTTGGTTTAATAAACCGCTTCCGCTTATCCATTCAATTGCTGGTCCGCGCAGTAGTGTTGCTGCAAAATTAATTCTGCTTCTGTCGAGTGCTGGTGCTGTCCATCCAATGGCGGCGAAATACATTTCGATCGCCAAAAGCCAGCGCTGAGCGTCGTTTTCCCCATCAAAGGTGTTGGGGGCTCGAATTTCTTGTGCCTTGGGAAAATTTCGCGACTGCTGCGAAGTATCGATCGATTCTGCTTCTGTCGCAATTTTCGCCATGACGCGCGCTTTCACCCGAAGTCGTTAGATCCGTCGCGCGTCGGTCTCGCAACTTCTGCACGGCTCGATATTGGACCCGACAATTCGCGATTGTCGTCGCCATGTCGCAAACGATTTCGCCAACAATTGAACTCACGATCCTGTTCAAAAAAACGCGAGAGGGGGATTATTCAAAATACGCGGAATCTGGTGCTTACCAGCGTCGGCGCCGAATTCGTCGTCCCCGGCGGTTTTTCGAAGCAGGAATTTCTTGAGCGCGTTGCTTAGCTGAAACTCCGCGAGTGAAAACGGCTCTTACTACCAAGTGTCACAGGATCGAATTTCCAGTGAAGAATGTTGCACTAAAGGTGAGTACAACAGAAATACATAGAAACAACAGATAATCCGAACCTTCGGGAACGCGCTCTTCTAGAATATGTAATCATTAGTGCGCATAAGCACGCAAGCCCATTGGCACTTCGGATTATGGCAAGATTACGCCTTGTACACCACCGTCGGTGCTGTCGGTGCCGTATAATGTAAATGTCGGTGCCGAAAATACATAATAAGTGAAATAATTGGAAAGCTCTAGAAAGTATAATAGTAGTCCGATTGAGGTGAAATAAAGTGCGAATGAAAGAGGAAAATAAGGAGAATAAGATTGAGTAAAAATATGGAAATGAGAAATATGTCGAACGTCGACGTACTCTTACAACTGCGCGTGCGTTGAAGGTGCCTGGTCGCCTTCCGCAAAGGATCCACTGAAGGCGATCGCGCGCGGAGCCTGGGAGCGGTTCCTCTGGGTCCCGAAAACGCGGCGTGTTGCAACTTCAAGCTCCAACGCCGACATTCCTTCGTCTGGCGGTGCGTATCCCCCAGCTTCGGCAATCGCGGCGAGGCCCCATCCTGCGATCGTGTTTGTTGATGCCGTCGGCGTGTGACAATCCCTGCAGATGCCGTCTGAAGGGGTCGTGTAGGGCTACCTCGCGCGGATGGGGGTGATGCGGCACCCATGGCCTTCCATCGGGGTGCTTCCACTCAGGGCAGTAGATGTGTTCGAAGCGGAGCGGAACGAGGTCGATTAACTCGTTCGAGTCGCCGCTGCAGTCGGGGATGTCAAAATCGAGCACGTACATGCTGTTCTCGGAGTGTGCTCGGCCGATCTGCTTGTGTGGCTTCTCATATGCAGGATGATGTCGCGTGTTTCGGGATCGGTGCTGAGTTGCACCCCGCAATCCGTGAGTTGCGACGCCGAGAGGAGGTTGAACCTCAGATTCTGCACGATGAGCACGGCGTTCAACGTCACGTGTGTGTTGCTGCAGTGCGCCTTGAGGACGACAATGCCTTGCGCACTTGCGCGCAGGCGGTCGTTGTTTGCCACGGTGATGTATGTAACCGTGGGGGTCAGGACGGCGATGGATATGAAACGCGCGGAGCCCACCATGTGCTGCCCGCATCAGCTGTCGAGGTACCACGTGTTGTGGTGCTTGTGGTCATCGCGCGCGAGCAGCGCCAGTCGCGGCGTGACGATATGCGGAGTGTCGAACTTGAGGAACTGATCGCGCGAGAGCCAGTCGATGGGTGCCGCCTGTGAATCAGGTACGTGCGGGGTGCTCTCAAGCAGCGGTATTGGAAGATTCCAATCCTGGTCATCATCGTCGTTGTAATCGTGGCCAGGCGTGAACGGGTTGTTGTTCGTGAAGGCCCCAATGGGGTGACGTGCAGGCTCTGGCAGCGGCGTGCGCACGCGGCGACGACGGGTTCCGCGCGTGTGTGTCATCGTCATGTTGCTGATGACATTGCGTGCGGTTCCAGGTTGCAACGGCTGCTGTTATTGGTGCTGAATCGTTGGGTTCGCGTTGCGCGATGTGGGCTGATAGCCCTGGGCGTGATGCACATCTTGTCTTGCGTCTTGTCGGCCGGTCCAGGTGCTCGGGTTGGACTGGCGGGGGCAAGAGCGGAATTTGCATCACTCCGCCGAGTTCCCAAAGTTTCTGCATACTTTGCAGTAGAGGCGCCGTGGTCGTCGCTCTTCTGTGTTGTCGGCGTAGAAGGCGAGACGTTCTCGTTCTCGTCGCGGCGTGCGGCGTTGCTGATCCATATCATGTTGTTCGACGAGAAGGGCGGCGCATAGGGCGGCTTCCGAGATAGCCCCATGTTGCCGGAGGAGTGCCTTGCAGGGTCGCCATTCAGGGTCGAGTCCTGCGAGCACGTTTCTAACAAAAACTTCTTCAGGAATT